CAGATATGTGCTGGCATGACCCAAACCAAGCTCTTTGCCATCCAGTTGATTCTGACTCATAGCGACCCTACAGGAGAGGGCAGGCCTGCCCCTGTGGGTTTCCCAATCTCACCGGCCAAGGCACGCGCTCTCAAGAACAGCCTGCAGAAGGCACGATCTGAAGCCCTGCGGCAGCAGATTACAAAGTACCAGGTGGTGCATATGTGTGCTCTCAAATACCAAGTTTTTTTTTGTTTTGTTTTGTTTTTCAAATACCAAGTTTAAGAATGTTCAGGGCACATGTCAAATTCTGGGAGGTCAAATCCCGCAGGTTCTGGGTTTCGTGTTACGTATGCTTTGGTAGCTGGCTTGCTTGTCTTCCAGGTACGAGTTATTTGTAAATTCTTTCGTTAACCTCTCGAAAGTCTTGGGAACACAGTCCTGTTTACTTAACCCCTATTTCCTCCCCCAACTCTCAGGGCTAGCGGGCTTTGTGACTGTGGTAGCCTATGGGCTCTACAAGCTGAAATACAGACGGAACCAGAAGGTGTCCATCCATCTTATTCACATGAGAGTCGCTGCCCAAGGAGTCGCTGTGGGAGCGCTGACTCTAGGTAACCTGCTTGATTTGTATCTGTGTCCAGCATTTTTATTTTATTCATGTACATTCAAAGATTAATATTTGATTCCGAATGATGAGGCTTCGAGAGCCTCAGGTAAGTATAACAGATGAGGAAGAGTCTCAAAGATATCGGTCTTGGTTAAGTACAAAAGATACCGATCCTCACTACCATTTCTTAGGGTTTTCAAAACTGACTAAAAACCTCCCCCCGAAAAGCAGGGTGCAAGCTTCTGTTATCCTGTGTAGTGAAAAGGGGGATGAACAGGCCCCACCCTGCGTCACCCGGCTAAATGCCGTGGTGGTAGACAGCACCGTCTCCACCCAGCTCACAGCAGCATCCTCGTTCCCAGCCGTCTTGGACAGCTGAGGGAGGCGGGCACGCTGCCCAGAGAAGAGTCCAGGTGGAACTCGCACGTGTCCACCAGCTCTTGGAAGAGCAGATGCGCACCCTGAAATGGTTTGATGGCGAAGACACCATCAGAGTCCGAAAGTCTCCTTGCCTGCTTTTCCGATCTGTTTGAGCAACAAAGAGGAGCCCTGGTGCCGTTTGAATCACTAGCTGATCCCTCCAAGGGAGAAAGAAAGCTGAGGTTTGCTGGTCCCTTGAAGAGTTAGTCTTGGAAACTACAGGGGCGGTTCTGCCCTGTCCTACAAGGTCGCTATGAATTGGAATCGACTCGATGGCGGGAGTTTTGTTTTGGAGCTTTGCCATTGAGCTGATTCTGACCGAGTGACCCTATAGGACGGGGTAGAGCGGCCTCTGTGGGCTTCCGAGACTGTCACTCTTTATGGTACCAGAACACCTCCTCTTTCTCCCTTGGAGCAGCTGGTGGTTTCAAACTGCTGACCTGGCAGTTAGCAGCCCAACGCAGAACCCACTAAACTGTCCGGGCTCCTTGGTCGAGCAATAGAGACATTTAGAAAAAGTGTGTTCATCCATAAATTAAGCAAGACCCATATAGCCAAACCCACATAGCAGGTTGAAAATTAACTGAGTGAGTCGGGCTTTATCAACAGCTAAAACAGAGCTAACAAGATATCGTCTGTGGGACATAAATTATCTGTGTGTGTGTGTGTGTGTGTGTGTGTGTGTGTGTGTGTCTTCAGTTAATGAGAACAAATCGCAATGGTTTTATTTTCACTTTGTTCTATGCAAAGTGCCCTCAGCCAAAGAGGAGGTCTGGCATTATGCAACGATGGGTGTGGGACTTGTGTGTAGGGACTTAGCTTAAGTCATTAGCTCATTACTGAGCTGGGAGGTCTTAAAACACAACGAGAATCAACTAGAAATAACTTTGTAACTGAAGTCCTTATTTTCATCATTTATCAAACATGTAAGAAGTACCTTCTATGCCCTCGTGAACTAGTAGGTTCCGTGTTAGGCTGCTAACCACAAGTCAGCAGTTCAAAACCACCAGTGGCTCTGCCGGAGAAAGATGAGGCTACAGTCACCCATAAAGAGGTGCCGTCTCTCAGTGGTGTGAGTGGCGATACTGGGAAGGTAGAGGGAGAGTGGGTAGAAAAGAAGGAACCAATTACAAGGAACTATATGTGACCTCCTCCCTGGGGGATGGACAACCGAAAAGTGGGTGAAGGGAGACGTCGGACAGGGCAAGATATGACAAAATAACAATTTATAAATTATCAAGGGCTCATGAGAGAGAGAGGGGAGCGGGGAAGGAGGGGGAAAATGAGGACCTAATGCCAGGGGCTTAATGTTTTAAGAATGATGAGGGCAATGAATATACAAATGCGCTTTACACAATTGATGTGTGTATGGATTGTGATAAGAGTTGTATGAGCCCCTAATAAAATGATTGGAAAAAAAAAAGAGGTACCATCTCGGAAAACCACAGGGGCAGTGCCACCCTGTCCTATAGGCACTGTGAGTTGGCATCGACTCCGGGGCAGTGAGTTTTACTATGTGCCGGACACTGTACTAGAGCAGCAGTTCTCAACCTGTGGGTCACCACGCCTTTGGGGGTCGAACGACCCTTTCACAGGGGTCGCCTGATTCATCACAGTAGCAAAGTGACAGCGATGAAGTAGCAACGAAAACAATTTGATGGTTGGGGTCACCACGACATGAGGAACTGTGTGAACGGGCCGCAGCATGAGGAAGGTTGAGACCCACTGGACTAGAACCTATGATGACAAACTGGAACCCTCCTGTGTCTCTTCCCATCTACAAGCCGCCACAGTCAAGGCTGAGAGGGACCTGCAGAAGAAACTAATAGTAGCAAAACGTGAACCTGGCCAAAGAGGGCGCGAAAGTGAAGGTGGAAATTCAGCCGGAGCCTTAGGAGCTGTGGGTCTGGGGGCTGTCTCATAACCAAGGAGCCAACTCAGAGATTCACTGCCACCAAGTGACTCAGAATGCCCCTAGGGGGCAGCGTAGAACTGTCCCCGCCTTGTGGGTTTCCAAGACTGGTAAATCCAGCTGGTAGTTTTGAACTGCTGCCCTTGTGCTTAGCAGCCTAGCCCGGTGCACAACCTACTGTTCCACACATGTGCTGTGGCTGTGCCTTCCGAACCTAGAAGGAATGTGGCTGTTGGTTCACTTCTGCCTTCTGCACTTCGCGTGTACAACACAGAGAAGCAAGGGAAAGAACTTCTGGAAAACGTAGTCACGGCTTAGGCAAGCTGACAATACAAATGGAACCGCTCTCCTCCCTCAGACAGCTAGACCACCAGAGCCCAAAGGTGAATCACTGCGACATTGTGGAAAAGAGCCACTCCCGTGTGTGCATGCTCCTTGTCCCCGGACCTGTGAGTCCTAGTTACGGGGAAAGGGGGGTCCCTCCGTGGTCACTGATTTAAAGCATAGATGCATGCTAGAGAACTGTTGCAGGAGAAAGACGGAGCTTTAACTCCTGTAGAAGGTGACCGTCTCATATGCTCACAGGGGAGGTGCCACCCTGCCCTGTAGGGTCACACGGTGAGTCCACATGGCTGTGAGTGAGAGAGAACATTACCCTTGTCTTGTAAGGTGCCTCTCGGCTGCCATGGTAACTAAGTCTCTCAAAACCCATCTACATTGAGTAATCAATATGCAAATTATGCTGGTGGTGTTTGTTATGTATATTTTCACAATTTTTTTTTAAAGCCATTCTACTCTTCTAGCAGGCCATCTGCTTCAGGAAAGACCCATGAGTCCCATTGCATGGTCCCCCTACTGCAGTGACTTGCTGGAAATGAGTGCCGTGGTCATTCATTAGCCATGGTCAGTGGAGAAGTGCAACCGTGACTAAAGCCTCTGTAACTCCGCCGATGGTGCTTTGGGCAGAAGTACTACAGACAAGGAAGGCCAACCAGCTTCGGGAGTGTCTATTCCAGGGAGAATTAAGGGCCGTGGTCCATGCAATCCAAACTTCCACTAGGGGGCTGAGGGGCCCTTCCTACTCCACCAAGCAAGGGTCTGACACTGGGGGCTATTGGCAAGATGGACATTCAGGGGTAGCTATAAAAACCCTAACCTTGGTCGTGGGAGTTTTTGTTGCTGACGCTGTACCCATACGTCGTGAGCCTCGTGGGTGGCCGAGGAAAAATACTACCTGATGTCATAAATGTGTATGAGTATTAGGACACTCCTCTGCGAAGGTTTTCCTTCGATGCGCATTCAATTCAGGGATGTCTATCCACATACCTCTTCCCCAGACCTCTGTCAACCTGTTTTTCAACTGTATTCCTTCCAAGCCCCAGACCACCTGGCCAAACCATTAGCCACAGTGGACTCTGGGAACATCTTCCGCAAAAGATCTTCTTGGAGTTTTAAAAAGCAAAGATGGCCCTGAATGCCCTTTAATGACTAAGATGCGCCTGAACCTAGGTAGGTAGGGACTTTGCAGTGACCTCACATGCACGCAAAAGCTGGACGGTGAACAAGGGGAGACAGAGAATTGGTGCGTTCGATGCCGTGTTGGTGAAGAGTTCTGAGCACGCTGTGGATGCTGGGAGAACTCCATCGCAGAAGACATGCGGTCAGAACGCCTAGAAGCAAGGGTGGTGAGGGGTTCATGTGCTTACTTTGGACATGTCATCGAGGAAAATGACCCCCACAGGGCACTGTGTGTGGTAAACTGGTGGGTGATGGCAAAGGAGGGAAACCCTGAGCGAGATGAAGCGACGCCCAACCAACCACAACGATGAGCTCACACATGCCAATGAGCCCGAAGGTCGCCATGGGCCGGAGCCGACTTGATGGCGATTAACACGAGCCAACATAGACAAGCACTGCTTGACAGCGCTTCTCCCTGGCACAACGAGCATCCAGAGTAGGTGCTCAGTACCCGCTTCTGGGAGGATGGTCTACTGTCACTGGTCCTCTAGGACCACCCAGACGAGGACGACACATGACACTGCATCCACTTCCTGCTGTTGCCCACAGAAATAGCTGTCATTCAGACCCAAATATTCTCGCCCTCAGAAGGTTGGGCCTAGAGGATTCCCCCTGAGGCCATCCTTACCGGGAGAGGGAAAAACTGCATGGTAGGCATCCGCACCAGGAGCCGGGCATTTCATTTACTTGTACCCTGAGCTCGTGCAGCAAACCTGTGCCTTATTAGCACCTGTTTGCCCCGGCCTCACACACACCACGTCCACTTGCTAAGGGCATTCTGTTACACATACCAACGTTATAGTTGATGGGTTAGACCAGCAGTTCTCAACCTGTGGGTCGCGACTCCTTTGGGGGGGGCGGTGTCAAATGACCCTTTGCCTGATTCATAACAGTAGCAAAATGACAGTTGTGAAGTAGCAATGAAAATGATTTTATGGCTGGTGGGTCACCACAACACGAGGAACTATTAAAGGGTCACAGGATGGGGAAGGTTGAGAACCACTGGGTTAGACAGTATCCAATTCATGAGGCGCATCTAGGGCCTGAAACGTGATCACCTTCAGTGGTCTCTTAATCCCCAGCAGCAAACCAGGAACTGTTTCTCCACAGGAGAATAATTATCTCCAGACTGCAGCTTTGCTCCAAAATCCTAAAGATCGATGTTATTATTCACTTCTAGACTCCACACAATGAATGTTGTCATTGTGAGGGGCCACTGGGTGGATTCCGACTCATAACAACTACGTACAACAGAACAAGCCACTGCCTGCCAACAACTGTCCGCGCCATCCTCACAAGGACAAACAAATCTCTCCTGGAAAGAGTATGGCCAGAGTGCTCCTTAGAGGCAGCAACGGCAAGGCTCTGTCTTATACACCTTGGACATGCCATCCATCAGGAGCGCCCAGTCCCTGCGGAAGGACACCACACTCGGTGAAGCGGAGGGGCAGTGAGAAAGAGGAAGGCCCCAACGAGACGGATGGACACAGCGGCTGCAACACTGGGCTCGCGCCTGGGGCAGTCCGTGGTATGTTCAATATTCGTCGACCCCGGTCTGTCAGTGTCTTGTGTGGTGGTGGCTCGTGCGGCGGTGACGCTGGAAGCTATGTGACTAGTGTCTCCACTGCCAGCAGGGTCACCCAAAGGGGACAAGTTTCAGTGGAGCTTCCAGATGAAGAACAGACTACGGAGGAATCAGCTGCCCCCAAAGAGCCACTGAAAACTTTATGCATCCAGCAGATAGAATGATCAAAAGTGCCTTTAATCAGATCATAGGGCCGGTTCCAGATAACCCAGAACCAACTCTGAGAAGCCATGTGTCTATATCTTCATGTGTCTATATCTCTCAAGATACTTCTTTAAAATATAGATATACAGTCAATCACATCAAGCAGCTATACATTCAACCACATCAAGCACAATTGCTACCACAATCACTTTCCAGACATCCATCTTCTACATGGACCCTTGACATCGTTTCCCCTTCACCACCACCCCAATAAGCCCCGCTCCCCCTGAAACCCTTATTCTCCCTGCTGTCTATCGGTTCAACAATCCAGTTGGCATATCAGGCAGAGTTTGACCAGAGAAGCAAAGTGACCAGCAATGATACATAATAAGTGATTTACAATAGAGCAAGGACCTTAAGTAATTTGGGAGGTGGTTAAACAGGCCACGTGAGACTGTTGCCCATGCGTCTAACACTCAGACCGAAAGTCAGCAAGCAGGGTGGAAGTTGGAAAGGAAGCACCAGCTGGAACCTGCCAGAATGTGCTGAAGCCCACCGATAGGACTGGAACCTGTAATGATGTCTTACTACCACCGACTGAGACCATGGTGTGACCTGAGAAAAAACTGGCCCCATCTATGATGGAGCCAGACCACATGGGGTCCAGGGTCCAGAGAGGCTAAAACAGGAGATCCAGAAGGAGCTGAAGGGGCTATGGGCCTAGCCGTTGCCACACAACAGCAAGATGAGTCAGCAGAGAGTAAAGTGCATGCGCTGGACCTGGTGCCCTCAGTCAACCGGAGACTATGGCCGCTCCGTCAACTTCGGCCATCCCACGCTCGTGCAAGAGGTCTCCTGCCAGCCAAGTTCACCCAGAAGTGTGCAGGGAAGGGAATTCTGGGAAATGGAGTAACAGCTTAAGTCCCCAATGGCTTTATGGGATTGCAGACTGAGGAGTGACCAGCTGAGTCTAAAACAATGAAAGGTTTAAATAGGGGAGTCATAGAATGAGCTCGGCGGCTTTTAGATGCTTGTCTTATATAGAAACGCACTGCCATCGAGTCGATTCTGACTCATAGTGACCCTATAGGTCAGGTAGAACTGCCCCCAGTGAGTTTCCAAGACTAACTCTTTATGGGAGTAGAAAACCTCATCCTTCTCCCAAGGAGTGGTTGGTGGTTTCGAACTGCTGACCTTGCATTTCCCAACCCAATGTGTTACCCACTGCCCCAACCAGGGCTCCTTTCGTGCTCCAATTACGAAGAGACGAATAGTCGTATATTAGATTGTTGCTTACAACCTTCTAAGACCTCAGATGCTATTTCCCAAAGTGCTGTGTAGAGCATTTTCTTCAAGAACTATGTCAATTGACCTAGATAGATCCTGAAATCAGCCTTGGAAAAGGTACAGCCAGAGTGCTCCTTAGAGACAAGGATGGCGAGACTTTGTCTACATACTTTGGGCGTGTTGTCAGGAGAGACCAGTCCCTGGAGAGGGACATCATGTTTGGCGAAGTAGAGGAAGGCCCTCAACGAGATGGACTGACACCGCGGCCACCACAATGGGCTCAGACACAGGACAAGGGTGAGGACGACACCTGATGATCGTGGGCAAGGTTTCAGTCTGCTGTGTGCAGAGTCGTTCTGGGTCCTAATCGCCCTGATGGCACCTAACAACAACCTACCCCCCAAATATTTTTTTATCTTAATATTTGGCAAAATCTGCCCAATTTCCAATTTCACCAATATTATAAAATCCAAACTCTCAGTAGCATAGCAACATGACAAATTCAGGTTCATGCAAATCTTAAGTCCTTCGATTTGGATTGTTGTTGTTTTTTCTGGGGCCACTCGTATTCTCCAAACCGAACATTAATATCATGGAAAGTTCTTGTCTGCTTTTCAGGTAGGGGCTAATTTCCTAAAGCTCCAGGTGGGTGGCATTCTGGGCGTGTTTCCCACGGGCATGCTACTAACTGGCACGTCTTTGTGCTTCTAGGTGTTCTCTATTCGATGTACAAGGATTACATTAGACCTCGACTCTTTGGCGTGACCAAAAAATGAAGCTACTCTCTGGGAGCAAGAAAGACAAGAAGGCTTCTGAGAACCCTTTATTGGGAGGAATGAATTTTTCATGAAGAGCCAATGGCACTGCGGGAGCACCAGCAGTCTCCTAGCTTTGGTATATTGGGTATAGTAGTTTAAAGCTACTAAATCAACAACCAGTCAACGTGAAAGAAAAAAAGTCTCTTGTCGCTTTCTTTCAAACTGAGGCGTGCTTTTCTAACACACAGGGCTTTGTTTTTTTAATTTTCTAATTAATGGAAGAAAACCATCTATATTATGCCCAACCAATCTGCAAATTAATAGCTACATAGACGTTCCAGACAAACTTTCTATCGCCCTGTCAAATGCAACACACTGTTCTTACCAGCTCAATCTTCCCCAAATGGAATGAGGTCATTTAGGTTTTCATACTCTTTTTCAGAAGGTCAGGTTGTTACCGAAAGTTGACCTACCACTCTATTCTTGACTCTTACCTGAACACTTGACTAGTTTACCACATCAATGTATAACAATTAAATTCCTCTGTATTTATTTTTATTCTTCTTGAAAGGATTTCTAGTGCCAAGGTAAATTGCTACCAAATCCGTTTCCCCCAGATGGCGCTATTGGGAGGTGAACTAATCTGACCCAGAAAGGCCAGCAGGACTTCGAGAGGACACTGTCCAAAGTAGACGCTCACTCCATCCTGGGATTCTAAAAAGGAACTAGGCTTTGATGAAGTCCTAAGTGTCTTGACTCAAAGCTCAGGACGGAAAACCTAAAGGATTTTCTCTCTGCCCTGTAGGATCCCTGTGGTACTTTCCTCAGTGTTTCCTAGCGTGGAGGCTTAGCTGACAGGAAGGGGAAGTTCCCCAGTTGGGGAAGGGAGCATTTGGCCATACCAGGATGTCTGTATACTAGATATTACCAGGCTACACTGTGCATTACACAGACTGCCCCCATCAACACCAGTAGTTATTTTGAATGTTGTCATTCGTACCCCCATCAAGAGAGAGGTTCTTCAAGGGACTGTCGTCTCTGGAAGACAGGCTGGGGAGAGTGCAGCCTTTTCATTTCACACGAGCAAGATGCCAGGAGCTAGATCAAGTCGTTTCAAGAAAGGCGGGGACACTGCGGACAGCTGGCATGGACAAAGCCGGCCCTTCATGTTGGTTGTGCAATGAAAAGATGTTCTAAGCAAAGGAAAAGATCCCGATTTCAACATACGCTCACGTTTAAAAAGACATTAGCAGAACTGGCAAGCTGGCTCCAGCATTTTCTAATCTCACAGAGGGAACAAAACACAATTTTTATTGCTTGACAAAAGCAATGCTTGGGGGGTGTCCAATGGAAAGGGACCCAGAATCGCCATATGCCCGCTCGCGGTGACAGGACAGGTTTTGAGCAGTTGGGTAGGGAACTGCACATGGAAGATTCTTAGGGGAAACGGAGCTCCGTAGGATGGAGAGCAACCTGTGCAGGGCAACAATTGCTTGGGCTTTGGCCCCGGGCGGATCTGTTTCACATAGACTCCTCACACTGACAGTGTCCGGAGTGCTGTGTCACTGGGGAAATTGCCACCAACAGCGCAATCGCCTTATGCCCCAGGGGGATGATTGACAATATTGTGCTTTGTTGTTTATATAGCTTTTGTTTTACTGTCTTTAGTTTTTTGTTGTTTTGTTTTTTCTCTCTGTTTGTTGGTTTGAGTGCTTATTTGCTGGCTGGTTTGCCGCTGCTGTCAATGTAGTGGGTCATAAGGGAGTTCGATTTTACCATAAGAAGACTGCCAAAGTCAACCTGTCGTGCATACCCAGGGGCATGCAGGTGGACTGGGGGTTCCCACTGAACTCTAGTCCCAATCCAAGAGCCGTTCTGATAACATGCCCCTGCGCCAGACTGACCTCCATGAATAATCACTGAAGATAAGGGCACTACTGCAAAGTGTGGTGAAGAAAGCAGATGGTGCCCGGCTATCAATCGGAATAGTGTTTGGGGTCTTAAGGGCTTGTATTCAAACAAGCAGCCATCTAAGTGAGGGTTAAACTAAGTCCACATGTTGGAAGCACACCAGCTGGTGTGAGCCAAAGACGACTTGTACAAAAGTCAAATGTGACGCAGGGAAAAGTATCAGAGCTTAAATTGTGAACACCCTATCTGTGGAAGACCATGGAGGCCAGTGGGAGCCCAAAACCCATCTGCAGAGCATCCAGTCAGATTAAGTCGCAGGCAGATCCCCCTTAGGCACAGGCAAAGGTCTGGAACAGCATTACTATCAAACATAGGTCATTGTCATCCTGATTAGGCTGGATAAAACTTGATACTTGGCCAGTTGACCTCCCTCTATAACAGTGGTTCTCAACCTTCCTAATGCTGCGAACCTTTCATACAGTTCCTCATGTTGTGGTGACCCCCCAACCATAAAATTATTTTCGTTGCTACTTCATCACTGTCATTTTGCTACTGTTATGAATTGGGCGACCCCCGTGAAAGGGTTGTTCGACCCACAAAGGGGTGGCAATCCACAGGTTGAGAACGGCTACTTAGAACCAACCTGAATTTGTTCTACGTGCAAGGATCTCTCGCTTGATCCTGCCTTTTTGGATAATGATGGAGGTCTTTTCTTTTCTGATCATTGTGGTCTTTTTACATTTATATATATATTTTAATCTTTCTATTGCTATTTTGTCCTTACCACTTCATTTCATTTTGTTCTTAATTTTTCTGCTGGGTTTAGCAGTACATGAAGCACAGGAGTGGATGTATAGAGGTAATAACTGATGCAAGGATTTGTGGGGGAGGTACGGTGGGTCGGGGGCCAGATGGGGAGGGTGATGTGATTTTGGGAATCAACAGTGAAGGCAGAGGGGGAGGGAGCAATAGAACTGAATGATTACACAGCTCATTTTAAAGGTGACTTAGTCATGGGGGTGGGGAAGAAAATGTTCAGAAATTGATTGTGGTAATGACTTGGTTGAACGATTGAATTGTATGATGTAGATTACGTGCCAATAAAAGTGAAAAGAAAAAAAAGCAATGCCAAGTATTTATAAAGGGTAGAATATGTGGCCCACTGCCACCAAGTAGATCCTCATATCAAGCCTACAGGGCAGAGCAGAACTGCCCCTGTGGGTTTCTGAGGCTATAGATCTTTATGGGAACAGAAAGCCTCATCTTTCTCCCTGGTGACGCCCCATGTGTAACCAACTTCTCCACCAGGGCTCCTAGCTATATCTGCAAACTCACAGATGACGTTTAAATTAAGCTGCAACATCACATCTGGGGAAGTTAGGATGCTCAGCATCTTGGTAAAGAGGGAGGGTCTTTGCAACACTGTAACTAGATAATATGCAGGACTTGAATTTGCAAGATGCTTCCTAGGCAAAGCTTTGGGGGCCTAAAGTCATGTTTGAAGTTGAGGAGACTATTTCATTGGCTAGTGTGACCCCCAGACGCCTCCGTTGCTAATGAGACTAACTCATGTGCCTGTATGTGCTCCGAATGCCTTTTATTAGGCCGCCACACAGTTAATGCAGCTGTCAGCACATTAACCCAATGATGTCAATGCTTTTCTGATCTTCTGGGTCTACACCGTCAGAGCGTTCCATTACAAAGTGACTCCCTACTGCAGCGGTTCTCAGCCTGTGGGTCGTGACCCCTTTGGGGTCAAAGGACCCTTTCACAGGAGTCGCCCGATTCATAACGGTAGCAAAATGACAGTTAAGAAGTAGCAACAAAAATAATTTTATGATTGGGGTCACCACAACAGGAGGAACTGTATGACAGGTCACAACATTAGGAAGGTTGAGAACCACTGCCCTAATGCTAAGCCTCAAGAATTGAGTATACGTATCTTATGGTAAGCTTAAGATTGAATATATGCTTGATACCTGATATAGAAATCCAAGTTTATCAACCATAAATTAGAAAATGATTACATACTCTTAGCCAAAAACTTTCCCCAGCCTCAAGCTTGAGCCCATCCCTCTCCTGTACTGGTTTGGGTGTGACTGCAGCTGTAATATCAAAATCGATGGCTGTCAGACTCGTGTGACCTGAGACAGGTCTGTTCTGAGAATGGAAAAGAAATCACTCGAGGGCTTACCCTTGGTTAAACCAATCGCTTCACTTTTATTTATAAGTAGCCAAAAAAGGACATCTTTTACATTTTCTTCCTTTTCCAAACCATTCTTGACATGATCAAGACATGAAATTGCCCCTGGGGCAGGTGGACAACAAACTGGTTCCTCTAGAGTTAGGCTTCTGGGTAAAGAGAAACCAAACCACTGACACTCATTCTCAAAAGCCTCTCTGCTGCTGAGGGAGAGACGACCGACCGTGGATGCTCGCTCAGCCTCAACGTGAGCTCGCTCCGCAGGAGGAGTCAGGCCTGAGTGACAGGGCTGTGGGCAGAAGCTCCACAGGCCCCTCGAGTAAACAGGAGGGCGTTTTCAAGCATCACTTTAGAAAAAATGGTTGCCCTTAGAGGGCCAAGCCATTCTCATGACAATGAAAACAGGCAATGTCTAAATTAAAAACACACACCAAAAAACCCAAGCACCTCACAATGCACTGCAGAGAGGCTGTTCTAAAATCGATGGGGAGTTCAGATAAGATACTCAGTGTTGATGCTGAAAGAGGAGCCATTTGCACAAAGGCTGCAGGTTCGCAGACTCCCGGGATGGGGCCTGTGTGCCACCCTGCAGAAGGCGCTGGTGGCTGCCTTTTTGCTTTAGCCCCGGGCACTGCCACACAGGAATATGGGCTGTGTATTTGCTGAAGCTTTTGATTTTCCAATTGGATAATTATGAGAAAATTTTCATTTTTGAATACTGAATTTTTTTTACATAAAAACTTTAAGGGAAAAAAATCTGGTTAGAAAAAAAGGTTCAGAAAGTATAAATATATAAAACCTACATGTAGGCAAGCAGTTGTGGGTTTGTGACTTACAGTCTTCCAACACCCAGTCCAGTTCTAACTTGTTCAGGCTATCTTAAAGTGAAATGCTTAGCATCCCCTTGGGAGATTGAGCAATAGAAATAATAGCCACCCCTGAAAATGAACTTTGGACCTAGAAGTGGAGCGTCGATGGGGGAAATGGGCACAAGACATGGCAGCAAGGCTGGCCAAGTGTGAGCAAGAAAACACTCTTCCTTATCACCTCGGTGTTTTCAAAGGTACACATTAGATGTGTTCTTCTCTTTTAGAGCTAAAATTCAAATACTAAAATGCACATGAATGGTTAAAATAAGGCCTTTGGGTTAAAAGTGTTACTAGATATTAAACCAACCACTTTGGCAAATACCATGCTAGTTCTGCTTAATGCCTAGGGAAAATTTTCAAGAAAAGCTTCAACCAAGAGAATAACATCTCTTTTATTCAACCTTGGTTGGTAATCAGGGTTAAATTTGATCTGGTTGCTTCAACAAGAGAACTGTTTTCTTTAGAAAAACGAGCTCGTATTCAGATACCAACGACAGCATCTGGGTGATTGAAACGGAGGTGGCCTTGACTAGCGAAGCAAAGCATCACATTGAAAAGCAGGCGATTTGGCTAGACTACCTAGAAAAAGCGCTTCAGTCTTTTTCCTTGTCATACTTGTGACCCAAGCAAACTTTTTTTTTTTCAGAAGAACAAAAGATTTATCAATTTTATATAGCCTCAAAAACTCCACCCAAACTGGTATGGGTGTTCAGGTTGACATAAATATATATATACATAGATATCTAGGTGTATTTTTAATCCCAGCAGTCAAGACACAATCCATAGGGGTGTGTGGCCACCACGGGTTAATCTTTTCACTCCGGCGGCTGCGTGGCTGTTTTGTAAGGCAGATAGATGGTTCTCTGACTCACACTTATCTGCTTTGAATCACTTTCCAACAGGAAATCTTAGCCTTTTGTTCAAAACATTTGAACAAAACTCACCTCTGACCTAACAAAGATATATAACAGGATATTTGGCACAAAGGGGCTTAAAGAAATGGTGTACAGTCTCTCGGGCTGTCTGTCATCTAGACACAAGTGAGTCGGTGTCCACGGTATTCAGAAGGTAGAGTTCAGGCTGAGCTGTCAATCCCAGGTGGAACTATGGGCAGAAAGATGGAAAGTTAGACCGATTTTCACGTGTTCATTTAAATACCCATCACTAGCCTCTTATCAATTCAACTCTTCCAGAGCTGCTATTTGATTTTTATTTCCAAAAAGAACTGGTTTGTAGACCCACAAAGGGTTTCTGATGTCCAAAATAACAAACAGAAGCTGAAATAGCTATGGATTGAACTAGGCCAAATGCCCTCGGCAAAATTAGCATTTTGAGTGTTCTGATACACTCTGGTGATAGATTGTAAGAGCAAGCAGGTATGAAGTGCTTTTTGATTTGAGTGCTGTGTGCACTGGCATTCTCCTGGGTGATGCAGTTAATGTGCTTGGCTCCTGGCTTCCACCTCGAGGTGCTGCAGATGCAAGGCCTTGGTGATCGGCTTCCACAATACCAGTCAATGCACTCCCTATGGAGCAGTTCTGTTTCATGGGATCCCACGAGTTGGAATCCAATTGAAGGCAACTGGTTTCCTTGAGAGGGGCTCTGGTGTCGTGGCGACGATGCATTGGGCAGTTTGCAACCTCCAGCTGCTCTTCAGGGAAAAGATGAGTCTGTCCATTCCCATCGAGTTACTCTCAAACCCACACCGGCAGTTCTACCCTGTCCCATGGGGCCACTGTGAGCTGGAAACGACTCGATGGCAGTGAGCTTGGTTTGGGGTTGGTTTAAAGACGGGGAGATGAGCTATGAATCCCCAGTATTTGTCAGTCTGAATCAGAATTACCTTGGCTGCTTTCAGTAAACATTCCCAATCGCATAGGTGGATTATGTCCCAATAGAACTTGTTAACAAAAGCAAGTCCCCAAACCCAGCCCTGGTTTGTGTTGGGACCTGTGGGTTTGGATTTCTTCTCACTACTCTCCTCCCCGCCCACACGGCACCTGGCAGTCACTGAGCCTCGTTTTAGCTGTTCCTACTTAGGCAACCTGTCCGGTCATTAAGAATGCAGACTATACTCCGCAGGAAGGAACTAGTCCCAGTACAGAAGCCCCAGAAAATCTGGGTTCAAGCCCCAACGCCACCACTTCCCATGACCTTGAAGCAAGTCATGTCGTTGGGAGCCAGCCCCCTTCTGCTTTATTTGTAATATGAGAACCATAAATGGCGTATTGAAAATGTCAAGCACCCTAACTCGAGGTCTCACTTGAATCCCCACTAACTGCGCATCTGCAGCACAAGGACCTCACGTAACTGTTACGGTGATTATGGAAGGGTACAGCCCGAGGTAAAGTGAAAGAACGACTACTTCTCAAGGAGCAGACTAGAAAAATACTGTGCTGCACGGGCCTCAGGGCGGAGCAGCAGCTCTCGCGTCAAGCTTCAGTTTTAGTCTCTTCATCTTTAATAACCAATAGCAATCATAATTGCCCATTCACGGCACCTTTTTCCCATGGGGCTAAGTAGATGGACTCGCTCATTATGTACTAAGGGTCACACTCCTCCCAGCGCCCCCACCCGGGAGCACTTAAAATGTCTTAGTCATTGGAGGTGGTTGTGTTGCTCTGAGACATTGTGAAATCCCAGGGCAATCTGACCTGGGATTAGAATAAAGCCAGAGTATTTTCAAGGGCAGGTAGGTAAAGAATGCAAATAACTACACTTATTCTTAGCTATGACTGGCTAAGGCCAGAGAGAGAGCGAGCCCTGCCCTTCCTAGACTTTTTTTTTCCAAGCACGAGCCAAGCAAAATTAGTCTACCAGTTGACATCTGAGCTAAAGTATAAACCCTATTCTAGCACTAACCAGTGTATGTCAAGAAGATGCCTTCGTTACTTTTGCTTAAAGTGCTTCCTGCTAATAAACTGGGCATCTGATCCCAGCTGCCTCTTGGCTAATGCACAGCGATAGAGTGGTCTGGGATTGGAAATGTGGGTTCTGGAGTGAAGCTAAAGTTCAAATGCCAATTGTCCGCTTACTAGTGATGTGAACTTGGGCAACTTCTTTTCCTTCCTGGTGTTCAGCTGCCCCATCTAAAGACCTGTCTTGTAAGGATTGCCTGAGGTAACGAGTTATCTGGCACACAGTAATAAGTGCTAGCTGTTTTCACATTCATACGCTGAGGTGCAAGAAGTTGGCACATTTATAGTCATGGTCCTACCCAACAAAGGAGCAGAAGGCATCCCAGAGGATGGCTACAAGAAGAGTCTCAAATCAGGGCCTTCAAACTGGCCTGCATCCTATTTTTGCTATGAAATTAAACTCAAGAAAAGAGGGTTACTTGAGGAAGGACCACTCGGAGAACACTTGTCCCCATCTGATGCCTTCCGAGGCCTTACTCACAGTCCGGACACCACTCCTGCAGCACAGCGAGGGAGCTTGCAGCAAAGACGTAGAGGCACAAGTCCCAGTTGAGACTACCGACATGCTTCTGAAGGCCCTCTCACAATGCCACTTCCGCCAACCCTCCCAGGTCTGCCAAAACGCTCATTTTCTCACTAACCCATTTTGGTCTCTTTTTAAATACTCCGCGATTTTTTTTTTTTTAAACTGGCAGTGTGGTAAAAGTATATTTCTGTAGTGAAACAAGACTCTATGGAGGAAAAAGTTCAGAAGATAGTAAAGTCGGTGTTTTTCTTTCTTAAGTTTCAATATGACCACGTAACATATAGGAAGACCGTGTCTAGGTAATTTTTTGAGCTAGTTGAGCCCTGGTGGACAAGGGTTAGGCAGCCAGTTGCCAACTGGAGAGGTTGGTGGTTTGAACTTACCAGCCACTCCTCGGGAGAAAGATGGCAGTTTGTTTCGTAAAGACTTACAGCCTTGGACGCAGCGGGGTCAGTTCTACTGACTGACCTCGGGGGCCGCTGTGGCAGGGCAGGCTCGCGGGCAGTGGGGAGACAGAAATGTCTAAGTGTCTCTGTCCTCACTACAGCGGGGATGACCAGCACTGTGCTTTACTGTGTCATTCCAGGGGGAGCTGCGGTTTCAACATGTCTGTATCCACGTGATGGAGGCCCCATTGTATCACCAAAGTTGGAAAAAAAGATCCAGGAAACCAAATTGGAAAAAGAACCTTTTTTTAATTACAAACCAACTTTTCATGGTCACTGAAAAAGCGCCCTTGGAATCACCACTAGCAGGCTCTCACAGGAGCCAAACTACAGTCCCTGTGCAACCAGCCCCTCCCCCCACCCCCACCCCTGTGAGGACCCCCCAGGGCTACAGGAGCACAGTGCAGAACAAGGGCCGACTCCATAAAGGACAGCTTACGTCCTTCAATATCCCGTCCAACTGGAAGACTTCCGTTCTGGTATCTATGGCACTCAGAATACCAGCTGAAGGCCACTTTCACTGTGAGGATCGTATGGAATAAGGTATGGGAGTGTTTGGTTGCTGTTGAGAACAGACACCGCAAAACATGCACCCAACGCAAGGGTCTCCACCTGTGCGTTTGCTGCCACTGAAGCCGCACTCCCAGTTTGAGACCCTGCTCAGCCCTTAGCGTGCACTCACTGCAGCCGGCCGTGCCCAGCTCATCGCTCCCAGCACGCTAGTCAGCTTGACTTCCACATGGGTAATTCTGAAAAAGCCATCATTCTCAAGCCTGTTCTTTTAAACCAGTTAAGCTAAACAACTGTTTGGTTTTATGATTAATTCGGAGGATATTTTTTGGTTTGAGGTTTAAAGATTATCTCAGGGCAATCATTTCCGGGGGTCACCACACCCATCCTCCATGGCGCCAGGATCTAGTCTATGAGATTTTGAGGTTCTGTTCTATAGTCCCCCCCTTTTCACCAGCACCCCTCCCCCGCGCTTCTTGATCAAGAGCTCTCTGTCATCACTAGCTGGATGCTCAGTCTTGGCAGCTGGGCAACATCCAGTTCTTGTCTCAGGATAAAGGAAGCAGTTGATCCAAGGCAACCAGCCCCACACTATACACTCCTATCCTCCTCGAATGCCTGCCTCTCCTCATCCTCTTGCTCCAGGCTTAGAGAGCCCAGCTGTTATACCATGGGTGGCCCACCTGCAAGCTTTGTAGGACACCAGGCATGACAAAATAAACCAGGAGGTAGCACCAAACAATGAAGCGTGTTATTGGGCTAATTAAATAGGATTTCCCATGAGGCCATGACCTTAAACCTCCAAACCAAGGAACCAAATCCCAAGAGGTTTTACATAAGTAACCTCAATAGCTACTTTTTATTTGGGGGGAGGGGGTTGTCATTGCTATAAATAGATCATATAACCTTTGCCAATTCAACTTTTAGGGATGTATAACTTACTAATAGCAATTAGAATAATTAGCTGTGTAATCATATCCTTCATGTGAATTTTCTGCTAACCTCCCTCTTTCCCCTCCTTCTTACCCGTGGTAACCACCAATAAGCTTTGGTTCCTATCCATTTCCTTTTATGTAAATGAGCTCATGTAATAGGAGTTCTTTTGTGGCTGGTATATTTCACTCAACATCATCCCTTCAAGATCCCTCTATACTCTAACATGTGTCAAGGGCTCATTTCCCAAACTGGCAGGGTCCATTGTATGTAGGTACCAGATTTTCTTTATCCACCTACCTACTGGTTGCGTCCACGTTTGGGTAGAACTGAGGCTGGGCTGTTGTGAACAGTGCTACAATGCACGTTGGTGTCCAAGCGTGTGCTTTCAAGTCTTTTGCGGATATGCCCAGGAGTGGGATTGCTGGATCGGATGCTAGTTCTAGTTTTATGAGGACCTGCCAGTTTCCCACAATGGCTGGATTTTTCATTCTCACCAGCAACAAGCAAGGGCTCCAATTTCTCCCTATCTTCATCAACATTTTGTTTTGTTTGGATCTTGGCCAGCCTAAAAACCAAACTCACGGCTACCAGGTCCATCCTCACAGTGACCCATTTAAGGTTTCTGAGGCTGTAAATCTTTACAAGAGCAGACAATCTCTTCTTCCTCTTACAGAGAAGCTGGGTTTACACTCTCAACCTTGCAACTAGCCACCAAATGCCTAACCCCCCGAGCTCTGTCCCAGGGAAAGAGAAATGGTCTTTTTTGTGGTCTTAATTTGCAGCTCTCTGATGAGATGTCTATTCAAGTCCATTTTATGATTACGATGTCTTTATGTTGTCAAAATTTCATATACACTGCGATTAGTCAATGATTGTCAGATAAATGATATCCCAAGATTTGCCGCAGTTGCTAGCTTGTCTTTTCATGTTTTGGTATCATCTCCCAGACAGGTTTTTCCCATTTATTTATTTTGTCTTTTGCTGATGATGCCTTTCTTGTATTAACAATCCATTGCTAAAAGCTGGGCCCTGCATTTTCTTCTAAGGATTTACAGTTCAGTCTACATATTGAAGCCCTTAATCCATTTTGAATTTGCTTTTGCGTGTGAGGCATGGCTCCTGTTTTACTTCTCTGCAAGTGAAAGTCAAAGCCGCCCGGCACCACTTATTGAAGAGACTCTTCTTTCCCCATTGAGTGGACTTAGCACCTTCCGTGTGTGGGTTTTCTTCTGGGCTCTTAACGCTCTCACTGGTCCAAGCGTCTATTGCTACACCAGTACCAGTCTATTGCTACACCAGTACCAGGCTGTTCGGAAGACTGTGGCTGTGAAAGGTTTTAAAACCAGTAGGGGAGCATTCCTTTGTTCTTTTCATTCAACACTGGGCTAGCTCTTTGGGATCTCTCTTGCCTTTTTCCATATAAAGTTGAGATTTGGTTTCTCTTATCGCTGTAAAGGCTGTTAGAAATTTGATCGGGATTGTGTTGAATCTATAGATCGCTTTGGGTAGTACAATATAATCTTAACAATATTGTCTTCCAATCTAAGATCACAAAATAGCTCTCCATTTATTTAATTCTTGTTTAATCTCTTCAGGCAGTTTACAGTTTTCATTGTCTCAGTCCTTCCTGTCACTGTGTCATTGGTGAGATTTATTCTCGGGCATTGTATTCTCAGGTGCTATTGTCAATGAAATCTCAGCAGGGATTTATCGTTCAGATTTCTCACTACTGATGTATACAAACCCAACTGGTTTTCGTTTGTCCACCTGATTCTGAACAACTTTGCTAAATTTCTCTATCAAGCTCTAGAAATTTCCTAGTGGACTCGGGATTTTTTCTCGATACAAAGGGTCATATAGAAATAGAAATAAAATACAAATTTTACTTCTTATCTGAAAACCTTTTATTTCTTTTTTTTTCCTGTCCTACTGCCCTGGCTGGGACTACCAGTATAATATTGAATAGAAGTAGTGAGAGCAGGCACCCTTATCTTGTTCAAGTTCAAGAAAAAAGTTCTCAGGTTTTCTCCACTAAGTCTAATGTTGACTGCTGCCCTTTCGTCGATGCCTTAAATCATATTGAGGAATTCCTGTATGGGAGTGTCATTTTGTAAACACTTTAAAATAACACACACATAGTATTATGAAAATACACACACAGTATATTAATGAAGTATCACTTAATTTGGGAAAACTTTTTCATCCACACAAGACTTCAATGTAACTTTTTAAAAGAATGCCAGCATCTTGTACTTGGGTTCCTAAATGTATGTGGCTCTGAGACTGACTAGACCCACCCAGGCGCAGAGCAAATGTAAATGCTACCCTATCATCTTTACAAAAAGTTATCAATTTGGTCTTCAATGACAGATGAGAACTCCAGATGTCAGTTCTTGCTATCTTCAGAGAGTTCCCTGAGAAGAATTTGGGGAAGGATGGTACCAGGGGGTAGATGTAAGAAGGAACAGAGGGGACGCCATTGCTCCTAATCTCGTGCTATCATTCCTTGAGGGGCTAAGATAAAGGCATGATCTGCGAAATAAGTTATTTGCCCTTGGTACCTTATGGAAGATAAAGTCTGCACCTTTTGTTTTTTTTAACTTTTTATTATGGTTTGGGTAAAATTCCAGTCGACACCTCTGACTGTGTGCAAAATATCAACTGTAATGCTTTGGGTGGGGCTCTGAGAACATCGTTCAACAAGCACTACAGGAGGACGGTTTCAATCAATGTGATCCTGTGGGTCTCACCAGTCAATGGCTATCAAAGACTTCGGATTATTTTCCCCACCAGACCAACGTGATTTTACTTGAAATAATCACACAGTCTCGGGGTCTACCCACACAAATCTCAGAAGTGGCTAAAATGAGAACTGCAGCTTCCTGCTGAACAGATAGATCCGTTTTCTCTGAGTCTAGAGCACCACCATCTGGTCTGTTAGTGAAAACCTGAAGACAGCGGTGAGACGGCCGTGCTGAGAGCGAGCTCCGAGTCAGTCTCCTTGGGCAGAAAGTCGGAGGGAGCTTCAGAAAGCCCTGATTCTGCGAGAGGCGGTCTTCTTAAACAATCAGATGAGTCGTCTTCTCCTTTGGAGCCTTTCTCCCATCAGTACACGAATCCTACCATCTACTGTTACCCCCTCTGGAGGAGGTTTTACAATTCTATGTGCCTGAGAGTAAACTGCTTCAGGACAAGTGCTACGCTAACATGAAGGTTATTAAAACCCGGACTCCTGGACTTCTGCTTTCACTGACTGAGGGAAAATCCTCAGAAGACGATCAGTAGCCATTACCTACAGGTGAGCTGGCTGTGTATCTATATCCTTTGTCTACCTTCCTTGTTCTTTCTCACCTCTGCCGACCTCCACTGAGAAATGTAAAGTGGAAAAAAGTTAAGAGAATCCTGAGGCTGATACCAGTAGGTTTGCTTCACTTTCTACTTAATCTGGAAGAAATTCCCTTAGCTAAGGTTTCTATTGTGTAATTAAAACAGGCTGAAGGGAGGTCTGCCCCACTGTGTCCGCACCCATACTATAGCCTACGCTGGGAGAAACTTACTGAGCTTTCCATATGGGCTGTTTTTTAACACAGGGGCTGGTTAAGAGTCATGCAGAGTAGAGTCTCTCTCAAAAGGATAAAACAAGCTGGTGCTTGAGCAGCTAATTCAGCGTTTAGTGTTCGTAGGTTAGCAGCAAATGTCAGCTTTCCAAAGATCCTACCTAATCCAGTTCTCAGGTGATGAGGAGAGAGAAAAAGTCAGCTCCATCTTTCGAACTTGTATGCAACCATGTCTTTCTTTCCCAACAAGCAGCGGAGTCCTAAGAGGCCTCTGCAGCAGCACACACTTGTGGCTTTGTTCAGAGTGAGCCATAGAGACACACTGGTCCTGATGGCTACCTGCGGCGGACAGACAACTGATCCCGGCACTGTTCATCATTTAGTAAAGTCATTGGCCGCTTCTTCGGTCAGCAGGTTTTTAGAGATGCTTACCGTGTGCCCACAGTCCAGGAAGGACATGCCCAGTGCAATCAAACATTGCCAACCCTGAAAGAGAAACACAGCCATCATTCATCCAGTCTCTTTGATGACCCACCCCCTTACCCACACTGACTGTTGACTGCACTGCTCGGAGGCAAACCTACCCACTTGAGCATCCAGCTTGGCCGACTTCCTACCACCAGGATTGCGCAAGTCAATCTCGCAGCCCCAACCCCATTTCAAAGCATCACGGCCCTGGCTCTCCTCCACACAGTGACTTCCGTCCTCTATCCCACGTCCGCCACCAGAGAGAATGCTGACTGCTCCACTTGTCTCCAGTTTGTTCCCTTGATCAGGAGTGGCGTGCCCTGACGTCATTTGTCCCTCAGCCAGTCCTGCCTCATTCTTCCTCGCTAGGGGTGCTCACGATCAGGGAGGGGATGGCTAACAAGTACAAGGGGAATGAGCTAGCTTATGAGAATCCTACTATTTGGGGGATAAATGGCAGTAAGCAAACTCTAGAATCAGCCCTTACTGGGTCCTCAAGTCTTAGTGGTCACAGGTAGTCTGAGGACAAATTGGCACCTTCACACCCAGTTCTCAGGAATAAAGCATTTCTTTGAGTCCCGGAGTGAATTTTTAAAAGCATTCCTATCAGACATATTCAGTTCGATGGGTTTTCCTTGCAGTAGGTCTCTAGACCATGCAGATCAGCGTAACGTTAGCGTGCCTGAGGTTTACTGAGGAGAAAAGACGGGTGAAATCCATCTAAGACAGATTCACTAATATGATCTGCTCAATGAGGTAGTTAATTTGTGGCTGGCTGGCATGGGAGCTGTGTAAGCATTCTAGAGCTTTGAGGGCAGGGTTCCAGCCTGCACCCTTAAGAGGAGAATGCAGTCTCTCCAGCAGGTATGGCGCAAATTCTGCTAGTCCTTAGGCCCGATCCTTGTGCGTTTTAGGGAAACTTGCAAAGTTTGGGTTTATTGTTCTTCCCATAGCTGTTTTTCATTAATACAGCCAATGCTCTAGGCAATTTGGAAAACAGAAGAAACATATCTCTAATCTCACCTCCTTATTACCATCTTTGCATAATTTTATTCATTAGATGTGACATTGTGACTTTTACAATAGTTTTGCATTCCTTCTCCCTGCAGTAGTTTCCGTAGTCATCCTTTCTTCATGACTGCAGGAGAAACCAACGAGAGAAAACCACTCTCCTCACGGGAGCTGGGCCACAAAGCCCCCTGCTCTCAGCACGTTCCCCTTTCTCAATACTGCCCGCCGCCTGCGGTTCTCATCAAGGTTTATGGAGACTGGAAACCAAAGGAAGTGACAAGCAAAACAAAGCACGCCAACAGACTTCAGAAACCAAGGTCCATTCTGGGCTTACAGAAATACTGCTTCATATAGAGCGGGTCTGACTGCTTCATAGCATTTGCTTCGTAACTTGGAAGGGAGGCTTTTAGGCGCTCTTTTGGGCTCCTTCGTTTCTGTCAGCCCCCCCCATCACCCAATCCTGTGACCTTACCTCCCCACATGGGACTTACCAAGTAGAATACAAAGCTCAGATAGGCCACACTGACCACAGCAGCCACCACATACAAGGCTACGTGCCCCAGTCCCTCGACGTAGATAACGACAAAGTACATGTTGATGCAACAGATGAGAAGGACCAAGATGCCGCCTGCAATCCTCCAGCCTCTGTGAAGGAATCAGGATCGTTAGAGAAGCAAGAGCCCAGCCTGGCCACAACTACGGATGAAGCACTGTCTTGTGAGGTAAACAAGACAGAGATGTAAGAGGCTTTTCAAAGTGAACCCAAACTGGTTCTTCATATACCAGATTACATTAAAAAGTCAGTTAGATAATGATAGGAAGAGAGGATTTTTTTAATTAACAAAAAAATACTTTAAACCTGTGTTTCCCATAGTGGGCGATACCACCCCCTTAGGGAAGCTGGACGGATCCAGTGGGGGAGTGGGGGGGCTGCAAAAGCAGATACCTACACTTTATCCCGGGTTATGGGCTATAGCACAACAGTTTTCCATTGCCAGGGAGACACAGTGATTTTTTCCCCCGAAAAGGGAGTGGTTGGTTAAATAAGTTGGGAATCTATGCTTTAAACATACATAGAAGGCATTAGCTTCATGCCTGTGGGTTAAGATTCCCCGAGAAATTTGGTCCTATTTGAAAGCCTCTAGTTTGCTCAGTAATCCTAGCACACCTCACCTGAAGGATTATGCTAATATGATTCTCAGTGGGAGCTGGTCAGGACACATGTCAACCTCATGATCACCTGGTCATATTGACGAAGCTCAGGGGAGAGGCACAGGAGTGCATAATAAGACCCTTTCATAGACGCGCTGCGCACAGATGCTCCGTGGTCTTCTCGGCTGGTGAGAGACTGACACACACTGGTGGGCAGCGGAGCCCTTTTTGGGGACACGGAAGCTCTGACTCTGGAGTGCTCGCTGACCTTGTTCTATGTGCCTCTTCTTCTCTGTGCTAACGCTGACTTGTATTCATACAATAAACCTGTAGTTATGGCACTTTCTATGGTGCTAATGCTGACGCTGTTTACTGTCAGCTAATAACCACAAGGTCAGGAGTTCAAAACTACCAGCCACTCCACGGGAGAAACACAGGGCTCTCTACTCCCATAAAAATGGACAGTCTCGGAAACTCACGGGGCAGTTCTACCCTGTCCTATAGGTCAATATGAGTTGGTACGAACTCAATGACAATGAGTTTATAACATTTTCTATGGGTAGTTCCAGCATTTTTCAAGCCCGAGGGAGTAGCAAAAGCACGGGTCAGGAGTGAGGGGAGTCCTGAGGACCCTCCAGTTTGTAGCTGACAGATGAAGTCCTGGTCCTAGCAGGCAATGTGGAGGGCTGTGCCCCAGAGCCAGCGGTTTGGGTCAGAGGAAGAAGAGCTGCTTGTGCAGCTGCTGCCAGGACAGAAGGGCCAGTGAGGTCTACAGCCCTCACAATGCCTTTCTCATTACGAGCATTTAACATCTAATTATAGGGCTTCAAACTTCAGACACTAAAGTTGAAAAATTTAAGTCCTAAAAGCCAGGCATATTTTCCCCGAAAAATGGCAACTATTCTTAATGTTCTTAACATTCATGGTCTCCGTTTTCTAAGGACGAGGATTGAGGAAGTAGCGCTGGCCCTCACTTCTGAAAGCACATAGTTCCCCATCTGACTCATTCTCGAACTGGCCTGCTTCAGAAAGATACCTCTCCCCTACATGCCTGCAGCCCCTTGGGGAACTGAGAGAAAGGTATACTCACAGTCCATTCGCAAAGTCATGCATTACGGGCCGCAAACTCGTGAACGTGAGGACGGGGATGAGAGCAAAGGGAAGCTGGAACAAAGAGA